AATTCATTTTAATGTATTTTGCATAAATGGTTTTACTTCACATGTATCAAGTATTTCATTTTACTCACTAGTTTGTCACCACCTTCAGTTCTGTGTCAACTCTGTCATGCACTGTCAACTCCGTCAGATGGACTTTATGCTGTGTTTTGTTTTAAATAATATTTTTTTTCTTTTTTGAGAAGCATTTGTCTGTAAAACTGAGTAAAAATATCACTAATAGGGTCATTAAAAACTAATATTATATTTAGATGGTGTTGACAAAGTTCTGGGTTAGGTTCATTAAAAATGTAATTTTCAAAATAAATGTTGCAACTGGGAGCCTGCACCTTAGCATCTTTACATTCCCAAAACATTATTTGTCATATTTGAATACATAAGCTTGAGGAATAATTACATTTTTGGGGGGAGATAATTGAAACCCATTTTGTCCCTCTTCTTAAAAATCACTGATAGTGTAGTATAGTGTAGGATAGCACAGTATGGTGTAGCACACCATAGCATAGTATAGCATAGCAAAGTATAGCATACCATAGCACCATGCAGGATAGCATATTATAGCATAGTGTAGTATTGCATAGTGTGACATAGCGCAGTACAGCGTAGCATGGTATAGTATAGTGCGGTATACCACAGTACGACTTAGTATAGCACAGCATAGTATAGCGTGGCACAGCATAGTATGGTATAGCACAGCATAGTATTGCACAGCACAGTATAGTATAGCATTGTGCAGCGTAGTGCAGCACAGTATAGCATACCATAGTATAGCATAGTATAGTACATCATAGCATAGTATAGCATAGTGCAGTGTGGTACAGTATAGCATAGCATGGTATAGTGCAGCATAGCACAGCATAGTACAGCATAGTATAATATAGCATAGTACAGTATTGCATAGTATATAACATGATATAGTATAGTACACCATAGCATAGCGCAGCACGGCATAACATGTATGGCACAGCATAGTATAGTGTAGCACAGTATAGTACAAAGTATAATACGGTATAGTACGGTGTAGTGTGGTATAGCATGGTGTAGCATAGCACAGTATAGCGTAGCATAGCATAGCCCGGTATGACATAGTGTAGTATAGCGTAGTATAGTATAGTATACACCAGGGGGCCTGGTGTAGTATAGTATTCTGTTGTATGGTATGGTGTGGTGCAGTATAGCATAGTACGGTACATCATAGTGTGATGTGGTGTGGTATTGTATTGCGTGGTATGATATAGTGTAGTATAGTATGGTATAGTGCAATACCATAAAGTACAGTGTATAGTACAGCATGGTACAGTAAGGTATACCATAGTGTGAAATCACTGCACACAGGGAGATGATATAATGGAAAATTGTCACATTGCTATGACATTACTATTATATAGCATAGCACAGTATAGTAGAAAGTAGTTGTACACACTTTGAGATGATATAATGAAAACATATACTTTAAGTAGTAATTATGGTATACTACACCATTAATGTGATGACATTGTTTACTATAGATTAAATAGTAAATTGTTTTATACTTGTATTGCACTTTATCAAGTCCAGAAGACCCCAAAGCGCTTCACACTACAGTCATTCATCCATTCACACACACACGCTGATGGTAGCAAACTACTGGATAGTAGCCACAGCTTCCCTGGGGCAGGCTGACAGGGAGAGTCTGAGAGGATATAATGAAAAATGATACTATGTAATTATATTCTATAACTTCACTACTATAGGATTGTATAGTCTATTGAAATGTGGTGAAAAATAGTTGTATACACTTTGACATGATCTAATGAAACAAAATACTACATGCATGGTATACCATTACTTGGATTCTATTGTTTATTATTATTTAAAAATAATTAAAATACTATAATATTTTAGCTGCAGTGCTTGCAGTCCTTGCAGAGTGCTTTATCTAGTCCAAAGGACCCCAAAACGCTTCACACTACTTTCAGTCATTCTCCCATTGACAAGCTACTGAACAGTAGCTGCAGCCATAGCTTCCCTGGAGACTGACAGGCAAGGCAAGACAAGGCGGGTGAAGTGTCTGCCCAGGGACACTGAGGCTCCTCCCTCCTTCACCACCATGGTCCCCACATAAACCTGCTTTACACAGACAATGTTAGATATTTTTGGTTAATTACTAACAAGTTTATTAAATAAATCAATCTGAAGGATGGGCCTTTATTGTGACTGCTATGCCTGCCTGGTTTCCACTCTGGTTCTGGCTGACTTGACAAATCTCCCCTCGCAAAGGCTCTGCGTGTTCATGTTGCTGTGCGGGGGTGTTGTGGAGGCGCACTGCACATCTGTACTGCGGAACAACTTCAGACAGGAATCCTGACATGGTCATTTTGAATATTCTGCTGCAATTATTGTTATTATTATTATTATTATTATTATTGGTGGAGGATTTTCCCCTGTGCTCAGCAATTTCCCAACTCATCAGCTTATGGGATGTAAATGTATAGGTCGTAGTTATTATATCTACAGGACTGAGTATTTTTTTATTATTATTGTTATTATTTTATGAAAATAGTGTTCAAAAATCCTCCCTGCTTTATTGGATTATTAGTAAACATAAAACACCTCTGGCTTGTGCTTTGTTGCCTCACAACCTATAATTAATTGTTGTATTTTTCAGCCACTAAAAGCAAAGTGGAGCTGTTTCCCCTGCCAAGAAGAAGAGTGCACTTTGGTTGTAAGGTTACCATGGTAACAAAGCAATAGAAGCAACTTCAGAGGAGGTGGAATAAGGAAGGGGTATGTGTTCTTAATGCTACATCAATGAACGAACCTGCTTGTGAGGTCCCATTAAAGACTAAGAGGGAAAGATAAGAAAATGCTATGGCACAAACAGGGGAAATAAATCAGGTGCATTTTGCATAAAAATAGTTCGGAATCTTGCAGTCTTTGAATGGTCCCAGAACTGCTCTGCATACCAACGTATTAGAATAAAATCAGAGGCCATCTGTTAGAAGCTAAAACCCAAAATGGGTTATGAAGAGCACAATGATCTCCAACAACTTAGCAAATATGCAACAGAATGACTGAAAAACAGAAGTGTGATTGAAAGAAAGCAGTGAACACTGTACACAATCCTCAGAGCTGCAATTTCCAAGCAATATCTACATATCTACATATCAATATCTAATTTTTGCAATATCTACACAAAATCAATGTTGCAACAAACTGCTTGAACTGCAGTAAATGTTGTAACAAACCATACTTCCAAGTTGGTTCCTTTCCAAAACATCCATGCAGTTCACTGTTGTTATGATGAAAATAATTATTTAAATTGTTTTTATTATCACTTTCAGAATTAATTAATTACTCACTATATGGGATTTATGTTTGCAAATATCACAAAGCAAAAACACTCACAGTAAAACATTTTTTTGCAAGCTATAGTATTATTGCAACATTTGTCATCATTATTACATTACCTGATATTGTACAGCTCAACATGCACACAAGGCCACACACATACGCACGCACACAAGGATAATTTAGAGTGACCATTACCCTAGCGTATATGTTTCTGCACTGTAGGAACAAGCAGAAGAACATGGAGAGAACCTCTGCAGAGCAGTAGAGAATATTTTAAATAATAATAATAATAATAATATGAAAACATATTTTTGCAAAAAACGCTGTGGCTAACATTTTCACCCCAGGATGTGTTTGCTGCTCTGCTGCGCAGCTTGTGACTTTCTGAGCCATCATACATGGAGGAACCTTATCTGGAAATTCCCTCTAAATGTAAATCTTCTACAAAATCATGTCTTCATCAGCTGTTCTTCGCAGAAAAATAACATATACGTACATGTTTTGGCATCTATTATCAAACTAAGTCGTGTTGCAGTATTTTATGACATGGAGTCTTTGGAGACCAAATACATTCTCAGATCTTTTTCCACAAGAAAAGTGTCAATATGCAGAGCTGCTGTATCTCTGCCACATTGTGATGAAATGCTCTGAGGCTGACTGCAGGGGGAGACAAAGATGCTTGTGAACTCACCAGCGGTTGTTGCACTGCCTCGGTTCTGTTTATTCTCCAGTGTTTCTACACTTTAACTCTGACCACTGATGACTGTGTTTTTTTGGAATGGCAATCTGGGGTTTGTTTTGCTCATAGTTTTATCACAGTGTTTAACATGTCAATTAAAAAAAGAAAAAGAAAATCATAGTTTTACTTTTGAATTGTACCGTTTTTCTTGAGTGAAAATAAGAGACAATTTTGACCTACTTTAGTTATTAATGCAAATTCAAGCAGTCTGGTCATTAAAAATGGTTCCCTGTCTTTAACATCTGCAGCAAATTGTTATTATTAGAGCATTTTCAACAGAACGGAAACTGATAAATTTTACCACACTCCAAGCTTTGACTCAGCCAGCACTGACCAAAATACAAAATAGTATAACTGACAGGAAAGACCTCACTGATTTACTAATTGTCACATTTTTCTTTTTTTATTCTTAAAGGAACTTGTGGCCAGTGAAGTGTGGGGGCAGTTTAATATGCTGCATGAGGGAACACAGAGAGAGAAGTAAAGGTCGTGCTCAGCCATTCGCTGATCACAGTTATGCTTATGTTTGTTGCTTTGGAAATCACTTTCTGTGAACTCAGGTGTCTGTGTTTATGTTTAGGTGACCCTAAAACTGGGTGAAACCTGCATCTGGATCTGGATACACAGAATAAACGTTTGATGAACTTTTAAATATGACAATGCTGTTTTTAAAAGAAATGAGAACAAAATAAGAAAAGAAATGCCACATAAGCTTAATTAAGGCTAAACTTTTCAATATTTCACTAATCATCTGAGTGAAATAAAAACTTTGCTAATAAAAACTTACCACCTGTCAGCAACTGTCTATTTTCAGCTGGAGCCTTAAAAGGAAATCTGGTTTTAGCTGTTTCACCCACTTCCATGATTTCAGTAAAAGGGAACTTTAATGTTGCAACTTTGAGGTCTTTTAGAAAAAAAAAGCTCAAAGTCTAGTTTCACTTACTACACGGACCTCGACCTGTGAAGCTGGAACCTGTCCCTCTAAGGTCAGAGTTTTTTCATGATCTAAAGCTTGCCAGAAACGTGTTTCACTTATCTGACATATTTTTCATTGCTAGGAAAGAAAAGTTGTACTTTGTGGGGGTTTTATTTGGCAAACAAGAGACTGAAACTTATCTAACAGAAAACAGGCAGGTATATTTTAGATTTTTTTGGAAGAAATATTTATTTTATTTCATGTCATAGGTATACTTTGCAAAAATGAGACATGCCTAGAATGCTCTTTTAACATTTATCAGAAGTTTCTGTTGCTCTTTATTCAGAGTAACTTCCTCCAGATGTAGAAACACTGTAATTTACAATGTTGTGAATCATATTTATTTTTCTATTAGCAGCCTTTTTGTCACATTTAAATATTTCAAACAAATGTTGACGTAAGTCAAAGATAAAATGAGTCTAAAAATGATCAAAACCAACTTGTGTGATAAAGTAACTGCAGAGACAACTGCAATAGGGCAGTATTAGTGATAACTAGCAATGAGTCTTTTCTGTCTCTGTTGAAGAACTTTGGTCCAACTTTCCTTGCATAATTGTTGTAATTCAGCCACAGTGTAAGGTTTTTAAACCTGTTTAAAGTCACACAATGATGCCTTTCCTTCATGACTTTTTCCCTTTTTACTTTGCTAAAGAGCAGACTTCATGTCTCCATCGATTGTGACAAGTTGTTTAGGTCTGTAACACGCATTGTGGTACAACCACCATGTTTGACTATAGTCATTTTTATACTCTTTGGAAACACTGTGGTAGTTTTACATCAGATGTAACCATATCTTCATAAAAATTATCTTTTCGTGTAGTCATCTAGATGTCTGTTGTAGATGAGAGAAAGGCCTTTGTGTTCTTTGCTGTCAGCAGTGTTTCTGGGTGTTAGCCCTTTCATGCATGAATTATGATCCTTTGTGTCAGGATTTTTTCCCAAATTTTTTTATTTTCTTAAGGCATAAAGGAAAAAAAATTTGTGAAAAAAAAAATATATATATATTTTTTTTAGGTGATCAATTGTAATTTTCTCCAAATACAAAGTTGTTATTTGAAAAATACATCAGTAGTATTGTCCTTTAGGGGTTATCTGATGTCACAATATTGTTTTTACCTGCAAGAGTCATCGACAGTAGAAGGAGGGACATGCTTTGGCATGCTTTTTTGTCTGTCGGCCATATTGGATTTAACAAAAATAATTTCTTGCATTTGTAGCTGATGGCCAGTAGTTGATGGTGTATTTTATGATGCATTAGTATCCACTTCAGTGGTCTGTGTGCATTTATAAATAAAAATCCACAAGAAGCACAAGATTCACTTTTGGATAAACTTTGGCTGGGAAGGTTCTCCACTGTTCCATGTTTCCTCCATGTGTGGATAATGATTCACACCGCAGTTCTTTAGAGTCCAAAAGCCTTAGGAATAGCTTTGTAACCCTTTCCAGACTCAGAGACATCAGAGACTCTGTCTCCTGTCTGCTTTTGAATTTGTTTAGACCAGGGTATGATGTGCTGCTTTAAGATTTTTTAACCCAATTCAATGTTATCAGACAAGTTCTATTTACGGGATTTCTTGGTTTAAGGGATCAGGCAATAGTCAGGAGTTTTGTTCAAAACACCTGATTTGAACCAAAAATATGTTGTTTCGTAGTTAATCTGTGATGTAATAATAAGAGGCAATTATATTTTCCACATGGGATCAGTTTTGATTGAATAACTAATTAATAATAATAATAATAATAATAATAATAATAATAATAATAATGTTTGCCTTAATGAATAAAATCATCTTCTGGAACCAGCTTTTTGTAAGTACTGTGGTCATCGTATCTGACATATAACTTTGTTTGTTTATCTGAAACATTTAAGTGTGACACAAAAGGAAATTTGAAGAAATCTTCAAGGGGCAAATAGGTTTTCTCAGTGATTAATATAAAATTAGCAAATTCTGATTTGTTTTTCACATTTCCATGGAAGTTGTGACTCTTACAAGTCTTCTGAATCCTAAAACTAAGCCTTTCTTTGGTTATGTTTACATTTATTTAGTTATGGTCTAGTAACTCAATCTGCATGAAAAGGTAAATTGAAGAAAATGTTGCATATCAATGAAAGCAAAGTATGATCATGCAAATTCATCTCAGAATTATGGAACTTTTTTCTTTTTTTAATAACAGGGACTTAAAAGAACAAATATTTTTTCTATACCAAACTTGCTTTCAAATTTCTGCATTTGGACATCATCCAAAAAGTAATCAGATTTCAACATCCTTTAGCTCTTGCAAGAAATTGATTAAAAATAGGGTTATTGTAAATGTAACACCATGTGATTACTTTTATTATTCCAGATCATGACATCGAACAGCACCTGGTTGCAGGCAAACTGCACTGACGCCTGTTGGCATCCCAGTTCCTCCGCAGGTGTAGCCGTGGGACTTCCACTCTTCTTTATTTTCCTTGCCATCGTGATCGGAGTGCTTGCATTCATATACTGGAATAAAATCAGGACTTTGCTGGGGTCTGTACAGAGAAGAGACCAGGAGAAGGAGGTCTCTGCTGAAAGCCCACAAATTGATGATAACCAGTACACCAGTATGACCAGAGGACAGCTCCAGCCCCAGCCCCAGTCTCCAATCTATGAAAACCTGGGAAATAAGAAGGCTCCATTCAACAGGCCTGATGCAGAACAGAGCAGGTAGACTATGTTGTGCATACTGAAAGATACTGAGAAGAGTGTGGTGAACCAGTTATGTGACTTTTGAAACTGTCAAATTAGACTTGCAGCAGAACAGAAGCAAATAAAGTAATGCTCTTTGAATGTGTGTGTGTGTGTGTGTGTGTGTGTGTGTGCGCGCGTGCGTGCGTGCGTGCGTGTGTGTGCATGCGTGCGTGTAGGTGTATGTGTGAGGCTGTGTGCGTGTGCTTGAAGGTGGGGGCATGGGGTTAATTTCCTTACTTTGCATTGCACAATCTTTATGCAATACATGCAGAAAACTACCTATCTTCACACAAGTATCAGCTCATAGCTTGATGCATTTCAAAGATAACTCTTCTCAGTTATTTAGATGTGGCAGCTGATTGGTCAGTCCTGGAGTTTTTTCCTCCAATGACAGACAAGAAAATCCACCCAGTTTGTGATGTAATGGTGCTTGCACGTTTTGTAATTAGTTCAACTCTGTTTCTCCAAAGGTTGCCTGCTCAGAGTGAAGAGGACGTGTACATTCAGTGTGAAGAGATAGATGACGGAATATACAGCAATGACCCAGAGTTTAACCCCAAACCACCTGAGCCCCACGATGAAGACGTCTACCTCATGCCTGATTCCTGAAGGCATGGATGGTTGTCTGTATCAAGAGTTGCATATTTGGAGACGTTTATGAATGAATGAATGAATGAATTTATTTTCACTATAGTCATGTACATTGAGATTCTAGTCAGAAAGAGCTCCAAAGATAGTCTAAGAAATACAATATAAATACAAAATTATAGGATAATGCTGCTGCGTTTGTTGACTGATTGTTAATAGAAAAGTTTATGAGCCGCAATTTCTCTGTGAGGTCTTTCCAAACATTTTGTTGCCACATGTAATCGATAGTTGCAGTAGGAACCAAAAGTTTACATACACTGCATAAAAGGAATGGTCTGTCAAGATATCAAGAAGGGAATTGTGGCTCTCCACAAGTCTGATTCATTGTGGTAACACTTTATTTAAAGGGTTGTGCATAAAACTGACATGACACTGTCATAAACATGAAGGAGTCTTTATGAATATTTATGACTGTTGCCATGAAGTGTCATTTGGTAAATAATGACACTTTTAATGCAAAGTTGATACTTTTAATGAACTTTTAATACAAATCTTAATAGAACTTTGTGTAAAAGGGTCATTATTAACCGAATAATGCAAAGCTTACACTTTTAATGGACTTTTATTTACCGAATGATACTTCATGACAACAGTTGAAAACATTCATGAAGACTCCTTCATGTTCATGACTGTTGTTATCACATGTTTATGACAGTGTGTCATGTCAGTCTTATGCACACCCATTAAAATAAAGGTTTGCCTTTATTTACCATATGCCCAAACTGAAGAAAAAGAATGGAGCTCCAAATTAAAAAAAAGTGTTAATGTGTTACATTTAATCAAATCTAGTTTATCCAAGTAAATATATCACTTGTTTATCTTAAGTAAATGTAAATAAAATAAGTTTGGCCAACTTGATTTGATTTCATGTAACAAATTTACACATTTGTTTTAGTGCATGCTGGAATGTGCCTTATTCAATTACTGAAACAATTAAAGGCAAATGCAAACAGCATAAAATATCCAACCATTATTTCATATGTTCTTTGTTTCAGACAAATATAATTTGGTGTGAAATGTACAAACTGGTCGTTCCACAGTGGCACAGTTGGTAGCACAGTTGCCTTGCAGCAAGAAGGTCCTGGGTGGAGTTTGCATGGTTTGCATCTGCATGGTGGGTTCTCCCTGGGTACTCCAGCTTCCTCCCACAGTCCAAAAACATGACTGTCAGGTAAATTGGTCTCTCTAAATTCTCCCTAAGTGTGAGTGTGTGTGTGCATGGTTGTTTGTCATTACTCTACAAGCAGCAAAAATCACCAGATTGCAGTTAGCAGACCATGATGTCTTGAGGTCTGATGGAACTTAAACATATATGTGTGTGGATATAATGACTAATGTTACACCTGATTTAACCTTCAGAGAGCTGAGGGCAGGATAACAAGTGATGCCTGTACTTTACTCAGATATCCGTTTATTTGTGTTGACATTTATTTTATGGTTGGTCTTCCGAATGCTCTAACTTCATGGCAGCATTTTTTTGTGTATTTTTCTTCTTTCCTTTTTGCTTGTAGATGTGCTTAGAGTGAACTCACCCATTAAAGCGTATTTTAAAGCAACAATAATTATCATTTTGAGGTATTTGTGTCAGGATTAAGGGTCATTTTGGTTTTTCTATGTGTTTGCTTTCCTGCTTTCTTGTCCTATTATGCTCAATCCCAAGCTGTATCTTTTACTTTGGATCAGTCTATTCTTAGTTGTTGATTTATTTAGGATAAATCTATTGGTTTGGTTTGCCTTTACTGGCCATAGTGTAATAAAAGAATTAACAAAGTTATGATGCAACTTACATGCTCTTACATTTGTAGCATAAACCAATAAATTACTATCATTGTACCTAGTTATGCTTTAATCCCTTTAGATTTATATTCTGCCTATTTCCTACACTCTAGTTCATTTTATGAATTTATTTACATTAATCTCACTTATTATTATTATTATTATTATTATTATTATTATTATTATTATTATTATTGGTTTAGTGCTGGCAACTTACTCTTTTGTGTTGAATTAACTTAAAAATTACAAGTCTTTAACCTACAGAAACTTTTCACTTTGACGTTACTTGAAACAATTAAGTTCAATGCCATCTTCATATCCTACATCAGATGCCATGACACAAAGTTCACCAGGGACAGATCCTGTACACTCCAAACAGTGCATCAAACTCAGTTCTTTATTCAAAGTAGTTTGACATTTTTTTGTCTAATTAAACCCAGCAGATTGCATCCAGTTATTGACCTGCAGCATTCACTCCTCCTAGACAAACATGAACCAACAGCAGACAATTGCTTGCATTGTGTTGTTGACTTTACAGCAATCCCTCATACCAAGTGTGCATGTAGTGACAGTGGAGATAAAAAGTCCCCTTTAACAGGAAGAAAACTCCAGCAGAACCAGAACCAGAATCTGGCTCAGTGCAACTATCCATCTGCCACAACTGACACAGGCTTTCAATGTTAATGAAAAGTTAAAAGTTAATAACAGGGAGTTTATTTAGCATCATGCAAATTATACACAACATACAGGAGAAATAGATGAAGTCAAACTCTGTTTATGTTACTCTCTATCAACATAATGGTAGCTGGAAATCTTAACATTTACTCAGATGGTGCTTGTTAAAAAGAATTTCAGAAACTATGGGGAAGAGGCATTTTACTGTTTTAATTTTACTTTATGCTATTTCAGTTTCAGTCATACCAGGAAGCAGGAGGAGCCTGATGACTTTTCATGCTGCATATAGAGGAAGTTCTGAATAAATAAGATGCAACAATGCTTAATTAATGAAAAAAATAAAAAGAAGAACTGACCAGTAAGGCACAGAAAAATACAGAACAGACTCTGAGAGTTTCTGTTTTTGCTTTAGCTTTGCTTCTTGCTATGCAGAAAAAATGTGTGCATCAGGTTTTACTGTGAGACCTGCTGCTTACATGCATGTTGTGACATGTAACCTTTTATCCTCACTTAAATAAGATGAAATGTACTGTTCCTGTTTTAGGTCAGCTGGTTTTTCTAAATTATTACAAACCTTTTTGCTGTTCTTCTGACTGTTTTTAAGACTTTAAATCAGATAATGCTGAAAATGGTGGACTGAATCTGTCCTGCTAATAAGCACAAAATTAGGCAATTTTAGTGGTTTTCTAAGTTGAACTGGAACATTAACACATTTCTGATTTCTAAATTCAATGGAATGCAGTACTACTACAATAAATTTTATACATTTAATCACCGTGAGAACAGGGCTAGGGTTTTATTAGTAATTAGTTTTATCTATACATTCGGCCATAGCCGACTTTTTGAAGATATTCATGATCCTGATGTGATCCAACACGAAAATGAGTTTGACCCCGCTGATTTAAGTTGGAATTTTCTGTTGGAAATTCCTCTTAAGACTACAACTGGAATGCACCCTAACAATGGCGACCGTGATAAAGACTGTGACCTCACCCACTTGAGAAATTTGGGTGATAACCAACCCAAGAAGTTCAGGATCTGATAGTGCAGACCTTTTTGTTCTTCCAAAATGTGTGGATGCTAAAGAAGTTATCGTTCCAACAGAAGGTAACAGAATAGGAAGCTGTACATGACTGGGTAGAGAAGCAAATTAAACTGAGGTTTGATATATTTAGTGCCTGCTCGTGATTATCTGTTTGTTTATTTAGTTGTTCAAGGTTATTAGGTATCCCTTATCCTGCAGTGCAATGACTTCATCAAAACAGTCGCAAGTCGGTGACCCTCTCCTGGACTACTCATTAAAAGAGGCAGAGTTATTACACTGTAAACTTTTCACAAAAGTCTGCCACTGTGACTGGCTCATATCAATGTGCCCTCTTTATTGCATTCATCTTTGTTCTCTGGTAACACATATCTGGCCTTGAATTGTGCCTTTGAGATTCCTGGTGGGGATTTCAGTTGTTGCCAAACATTACCTAAGCAGCACAGAAAGGAAATGACCAAAGGAAGATTTGATAATATGCCATAAAAAATATTGTGTAGGTTTGTATTCTGATATGCCAGTTTGGACCAAATTGCCCAGCTGCTTCCGTTTAAATTAATGAATCAAGGCAACGCTTAGCAATGCTTCAAGGCCATCTGAGTAAGACCTTATCTGGTCTGAAACTTCCAGCCCCTCCCTGAGTTTACTAACCTGAAAAGGTTTATTGTTTTCTTCCCAACATGTCAGGACATTGATTTTTGTTTTAATCTATCAGAATTTCATAGTGATAAATTCAAGAAAAACAGTACAATTTTGTTTTTTAAATTGAAGTTTTATTAATTTTCAATTATAGAAATGCATAAGACAACACTCAGAATATCAAAGTCCTATAAAACAATGCAGCTCAGTGCATCTGGTGTATAAAAATGGGTTATCGGAGTACAACAGTGATATAATACAGCAAATAATAAATAAACGAACATTAAATAAATACATGTTTTGTTTTGTTTTCATTTATAGTGAATAAATGCACTTTTAATCAAGTCAAGTATTTAATTCATGAAATCCACCTGTTTAAGAACCTATGTCACACAACCTATGAACCTATGTCACACAAGATATTCTTCTTGTTTAATTTAATGCCATAATCCCTGGAGGAGCATCCATGGATGGATGGGTGGGTGGTTGGATGGATGGAGTCTAAAGGCATTGAAACAGTCTCTTGCATATTCTGCTCAGGCACAGTGACATTTGGTGACGATGAGGTCGTTGAACAGAGTCAGCTTCAGCTTCCCCCTGCTGTCATAGTGCATCAGCACCAGGGGCTCGTATGCTGCCGGCACGCAGCAGGGCCGGGGAGTCTCTCCCTTGGTGATCTGGTGCAGGCGGGACTTCACTTGTGTGTGCATGCTGGCCGGCTTGTAGTTGTGGGGGCAGGTGCCGTCACAGAAATGCATGGTGTACTCGGTTGGGGCCACCACCCAGTCCATCCAGCCGATATCTTTGAATGATACAGTTGCAGACTTCCGGCAGCACCACCCTCGCTCATCACAGTTGTCTTCCTTGTTTGAACGGCGCCGCCTGCTGCCCTGAGCGAGGACGGAGTCCTTTAGGCCCAGTTCCAGGGTCACAGTTGGCTTTAAGTTGGAGGCTTTCCTGCTAAAG